GTTTATAGTGGCAGACATTTTGGATGAAGTTATCATCGGCGTGGGCTTTCTACTTGGCCAAGGCATGAAGATTGACCTCCAGGAAATGATCCTGACATATCGCGAAAAAAGGTTGTGGTCAGCAGAGTATGCAAAGGCAAGCATTAAAGCCTGAGGCCCGGGATGAGGTTATACATACCCGGTCTGCGAAGTTGTCGTCGGCGGAAGAGCGTGATGCGGAAACACTAGGTAAGTTTCAGCGTGAAGATCCGGATTTAGGAAGATCTGCTAACGCAGTGCAGCTCCAGGATCAAAGCCTGGTAGTGATGGCCAGAGAAAGTGGCGTGAATCCGGCGAAAAGGGTGCTCATGAGAAGAGACGTGGTCTGGTCACCACCAGTGGCATCCAAGAGCACGGCCATGTGAGATGGTGCACCCCCGGAGATAAGCCGGAAGCGATGTCCAATAGCGCATTGAGCCGAGAGGGTTTCCAGAAAGGCGAATTTGGTGTTGATGTACAAGCCGTAGCGGAAGACAGGCTTCGCCTCCAACGATGTACGCAATGAGTGGCAAAGCGGCGAGGGGCTGAGCAGCGCCGTACAGAAATGTGGCTCAGTGCGACGCCACTTCAATACTATTTTATATGTTTTAATTTAAGCCGCTTTGCCGCTCATTGCGTGGCCTCGGCCTAAGGTTATCCAACAGTTTAATGACGTATTGTATCGAGTCCAGACCGTTGGGAGACCGAGAACCAAGATGAAGGTGGTCCACTTGGAAAGGCTTTCAGCGTTGGGAACATATTTCAATATGGATTGAAAAAGTTGTTGAACAAATATTGTTAACGAAGCTATATTCTGCCAAAATCCGCAATAAAATTGCGTTTTGCTAATTTTAGTCCTGCAATTGCCACGCCCATTTCTAGGGGTTTGTCGCCTTAAAGAAAAATCTTGCCATACAAGTAGTATATCTGGATAGGTATTCTATCGGAATCCATAATAAAATTTTACTTTTTGCAAAAACCCGATGTTTAACGCCTTACCAAATATATCTTAACATAAGTTTTCGAAAAAAATTACAATTAATTGTTGATTCTCACAAAATTAACCATCCCGTCATAAAGAAAAATATTTTAAAAATAGTTATTGAAAAACCCCAATTTTTTTAACCACGTTATTTTAGAGAATTAAACAATTTACTGGTCTTCACTATGCAAATCAACTTCAAAAAGTTCAACTGTTAATAGCTAAGTTAGCTTTAAGACAATCTTGACCATCTTATATATATAAATATTAAGCCGGTTTCTTTAGCTTTAAAGCGACGTTAAGATGAAGTCTCTACGATGGGCAGAACCCGAGATATAACGATTTGAAGGAGTACATGATTAGTCAGAATCACGAAAAAATGCAAACTTTGACCATATATGTAATACTCCTATATTGGCAGTAAGAGCTAGTACCGTCCAAAAACACTACAGTACAGATATCTGTGGTCATAAGCAATAATCGCCTAAGTCGAAAAAACTGAATTCGAGAAAAAACGCTTTAAAGATTTGGACTGTAATGTAAACCTTATGGGGAAACCAAAATACTTTCATTTATAACTTTTTAAATAGAATAGGTAACGAGATGGGAGTTTCACGTAGACATGGAATAATAGTTGCAGAAAACGATAGCATATATAACTCAATTCTTTTTAAGTCGACTTAGGCGGTAATTGCTTACGACCACAGATATATCAATAAACACGAAACGAAAGAAAAGGATCACATACGTTTATAAACATGTATACAACACATATACAAAAACGGAACTCTAATACACAATACATTGACAAAAACGGTACTAGACTGTCTCGCTTTGATTTCGGAATACTTACACATTGAGAAGTTAGCTTACTGCCAATATAGAAGTATTACATATATGACTTTGACAGATCATATCTCCAAAGAAAGAAGCGAAAAAAAATTCATCGAACACGTGTTAGCTAACTTCATGTATAGAACCCATAAAAAAATGTTTAAGCCAATCGAAAGTGTGATACCAAATTTGGTGTCCGATATGAAAAAGATCGTCTCATATATAAAATGCACAGCAATTTTCACGAGTACAAAAGTAGTACAAAATTGTTTTCTTCGCGTTCCTTGGCTCATACCTTTTGCGTCTGACGCATTGCTGGCAAAGTTATAAATGTCACGCAAATCCACAAAGTTTTATTTGGCATCAGCTTCCAGTAGTCAGGAATAATCGTAACAATATACATATATCGATGTCTCCAGTTTTTTCTCTTACATATCGAAAGTATCAAGTAGTTTCACTTCTTCTTCTTATCCGCCATTGCTCCAATTTGACGTAAACTGTGCTTTTGACGTTTTCTTTTAAATTGAAGCTACCATATTCTTTGAAGAAACTAAAAAGTGGGTTTTCACTTCAAAAAAAAAATTATTCCAAAATTATTTCAGGGAATATATTTTGAGCATCATTTTATAGCGAGCTATTAGTTGTTTATTTCTAAAATTAATTATAAAACGGAAGGCTAGTAAAATACTCCTATTACATTGCGTAATCCACGTGGATAATCTGTATGTTTATGCAATTATTTTCATCATTATTTAGTACGATTAGCTGCACATTTCGGGATGGCGTGCATGTCAACTTCACCAAGGTGTTATTTGCTTGTTCCAACCACTTTTCGGCGGAAAATTTCAGCCTCGGCACGGATGTGACCAATCTAAGCGAAACGCTTCACCAGCGGCAGTAGAGCGAGTAGTTTATCTGTCTATAAACTATAACAAGGAGCTCTATGAATTTGTAAATTTTTTAAGGTCCGTATAAGTTTATGCTTCCATAGTGCTGATACCAAATAATAAGCTACTTTTTAACTATTCCGTTGTTCATATGTCCTTTAAAAAGGATCCAAATTAGAGCAACATCCTAACATCTATAATAATATCTCATGAACACTACATATAATGCCAAATTTTTTGCGGTAAGGTAATTTAAGGTATTTTACAACATTACTCACTTATTAACAGCTATCCTAATACGACGAATTAAGTAAATTTACCTGGCGTGTTGTAATTTTTTAATGCATAAAAAGTTCCTTTAAAAAATAATAAAATTTCCAAAAACAATAATTTGTTGAGGTGGCAGTGATACTGGAGCAATTTACGAAAAGCATAAACGTCATAGGCACAGCTTATGTAAAAAAAGTTTAAAGTGAAACTATCTTCTTTTTTTTGTATCATGGGCAAACCCTAGCGTTGCGAACGTTACGTTCGGACGTTTCTTCTAACTTTTTTCACATTTTTTGTAGTATAAGGGAAGGTTTATAGCAGTACTTATGAGAACAAAATAATGCAAATTTGAATTTGAGTTAATGTCGGTGAAATTATGTTCGTACGTTATCTACAAAAATACTTTGAAGACAAAATAATGAAGTTTACAAAACGTGATATAAAAGCAAACTAAAGGTTGGATTAATTTTACGGACGTTACTCCTTTTTCCGCTGAAAAAATTAATTTATTTTAAGCGATATTGTTGTATTTTGTTAAAAGATATAGTGCTTAAAACCAATGCTATTTAGAGCTTTGTTTCAAGAAGTAAAGAGTGAAATACACCACGCAAGCGACTTGACAAACATACTTCAAACCTACTTTTCCCATTTTCCCACACACCATGCAAACATGACTCGTTCAAGCACAGAATTTTTGTTTTCTTTCGGTTCAAAATGTAAAAAAGTTTTGTTTTCTTTCATTTTTATCTCTTACGTCCTCATTCGGTGAAAATTCCATTACAAATGAGGCGAATTTATCATTCACAACACAAGCGGTTTGACTAAACGTGAACCATTCCCACGACAGCCGGTTCTACCGGAATGACTCGGGTTTTACCCGACTAAGGGCTGTTGTTTCGGCGAACTAACCCCGTTTACGTCATTGAAATATCTCGGAAGCTGTTCGTCCATAGAGCTACATTTGCTACGTATTCTTCTGCTCAGGGCGGCATCGAGTCAAACCCAAGGTCAGAAACTTACACCTGCTGTGTATGCCAGAGACGATTACACCACAATTCCACCTCAGTCAAGTGTAATGCTTGCGACGGGTGGAGTCACCTCAGAGTCTGCTCAGGCCTACGGACTCATCGGCAGTGGACCACATCATTCGTGGTCCCCTGCTGCTCACACAGAGCAGCCTCCACGGCAAACCCCAGACCACCTGAGCAGCTCAACACAAACACCACAGCACCACAACACCACAACACAATAGGCCACACCACAACCACGACAGGCCACACAACAGACACACCTCCATACAACAGACACAATCTCCTACAATCTGCACGGTGTGTCCGACCAGGATATTCCGTATCGTGACATCAGTCATTGCACTTGACCTTCCCTGACTGGTGCCACTTTAGGGCATGTTCAGGTCTGCGCACCACGCGAGATTGGACGAGGAACTTCGAGGGCCCATGTTGCGCTGCACGGTCGCAAACTCCAATTGCGACGCCACCCACTACCACCACAGGGCGGCACCCTCCACAGCAGAGCACACAGCACACAGCGGTAAGGCAACACACATTGGTGAATTGCGCCGGATAAAATGTGCACCGCCGAGATCGCGAGCGAGATAATGGCGGTGGCTTAGCGTCCACCACGCACCACATCGTTCAGTATCGGCTCATCGAAGCAGACATCGACCGCAGGGATACCACACTTGAATGTCAGGGCATTGCTATCAGGTCAGGCGATGTCAAGCTCGAAATATTAACGTTTACATACACCCTGTCAGTAGCTACCCGGCATGATATCACCCTGGAATAGGTGCCCTCCTCAGAGGTGAAAACCGTATGGCAGTTGGTGACTTTAATGCGCTCCATGATCTTTGGCATTCATGCCTGTCAAACTATCGTAGGGGAAAAGACTTGGCTGAGCAGATAGACGATTCGAATTTCTGCACAATGAACGAAGACGCACCCACCAGGATTATGGCCAGCTGCTGCAGTTCGCCAGACATAACAATAGGCAGCGCTGGTCTGATAAACAGCGCATCATGGCGACCTGTGCTGACCTTGGCATCAGATCATCTGCCCATAGTCATCTCGATCGATAAACCAGCCGACCTTGGTCCCGCGGAACACCGGACCTGGTTGAAAAGGCTTCGCGGAATATACTGAAAGCACCTTCACTGCGCTCCCCACACCAACCGACGTCCACATAGGTGATCGCAAGTTCCGCAGGGTTGTCACTGCTGCTGCAGCTCGCCTCGTACCAGCAGGATGCATAGCAGGATGCATGTAGCTTCGCCTCTGGTGTGAGTACGCATTGGTCAACAGTGATGTCACTGCCCAATAGACGAAGTGCGGCGACAGGGTTGAAATATCTTTCGGCGACCAGGCTTCGTCGGACCCGGAGCAATGCGCGAGCTATTTTAGCTGGCAATTTATACTGCATCCTCCGGCGGACAAAGCCAAGCGTCGGGTGACCAGAAGGCTGCACAAACTGCTAAAAACCAGTGCACCTCTTGTTTTCACTTTCGGTGAAGTTCAGAAGTAAACGGGTATCTCTCCGAGCTTTCTCTTTTCTTCACTGCTAGGAGCCTAACCCTCTCGCCTACAAAATCCTTTGCGGCGAATAACACCAAAATACTCGGAGTAACCTTCGACAGTCTGCTCTCCTTCTCTGTGAGCGCAACCGCAATTGCCAACAAAGTAAAGAGCCGCAACAAGGTCCTCAAGTCGCTAGTCGGCAGTACTTGGGGCAAACACAAAGAAACGTTGCTGGCAACATACAAGGCAACTGGCCGGCCGGTTCTGAACTATGCAATGCCCGTGTGGTCGCCGGAAACTAGTAGAACGCAGTGGATGAAGCTGCAGACGACACAGAACCCTGCACTTCGAACAGCGACTTGATGTCTTCTGATGTCGCCAGATCACCAACTGCATGACGAGGCGAAAATTATCCCCATTAAGGAGCACAACACAATGCTCTGCAAGCAATTCCTCGTAGGGAGCTACAGACGTGGACACCCGAACAGAAACTTGCTTGCAGAGGAGCCCTCTCCTAGGCACGTCAGATCTATATGAACTGACGGACGACATGCCCTGGCCGGCACAGGGGGTCAGTCTCAAGTTATGTAGACTCCAGACCTATGAATGTCGTTCTAGGCACACAACCACCTGACATCGATGAGACGAAGCTTTGTCTGCCTCCGGAGACTAGAACCACAATAGTCTAACTTCGCTCTGGCTACAGCAGCAGGTTAAACTCATACCTGAGCAGATTAGACCAAGATGCGCCAAATGAGTGTCCGGCATGCAGAGAGACACCCCACGACTCGAAACATCTCTTCGTATGCCCGCATAACGCGACACAACTAACGCCTCTGTCCCTGTGGACAGACCCTATAAAGGCTGCATGCTTCTTGGGTCTTCCGTTAGTTGAGCTTGATGACAACGACTAAGATATTAACCGATCTGGGCAGGGTTGTTGTAGCCGCTACAACAAAAACAACCAAACATGAGNGACTGAGATATTAACCGATCTGGGCAGGGTTGTTGTAGCCGCTACAACAAAAACAACCAAACATGAACATGGCGGCCAGTAAGTTAAAACATTTTGATTTTAATTCAAATTTTTCTCAAACGGCTTGTCAAACCTTCAAATACCCCCATACAAAACACAAATGTATTGAAGCAAAGGGGTATTTCGCTTCGTTTGTCAAGCCACTTGTGTTATGTATTTCGCTTTTACAAAGGACAAATCAGATTTCTGAAATAAATGTGAAAAGAAATATAAAATAAGAATATATTGCACTATGCCTTTTTTGACACAAAAATGAGAGAATTCGAATTGCATGCATTTTTTGCGAGTTTGGTTGACTATTTTTCGGATTTGCCCATATTCTTCTTCTTCTTATTTGGCACTGTAACCGCCTAAGCGATTTTGGCCGAGTTCAACAAAGCACACCAGTCGTTTCTTTTCTGTACTGACGCCAATTTGAAATGCCAAGTGAAGCCAAGTCCTTCTCCACCTGGTCTTTCCATCGCAGTGGGGGCCTACCTCATCCTCTGCTACCACCAGCGGGTTCCGAGTTGAATACATTCAGATCTGGAGCGTCGGTGTCCATTCGAACGACATGGTCAAGGCAGCGGAGCCGCGGTATTTTAATTCGCTGCACTATGTCCATGTCATTGTAAAGCTCATACAGCTCATCGTTCCATCGCCTGCGGTACTCGCCGTAGCCAACGTGTAAAGGCCCGTAAATCTTCCGCAAAATCTTTTTCTCTAATACTCCAAGAGCCGCCTCATCGGATGCTGTCATTGTCCATGCTTCTGCGCCATATACCAGCACGCCCATGATGAGTGACTTAAGAAAGGACTTTACTCCTGAATTGCCTACTCAGTCCAAAGTAGCACTTGTTGGCAAGAGTGACTCTGCGTTGGATTTCCATGCTGACATTATTATCGGTGTTAATGCTGGTTCCCAAGTAAACGAAATTCTCTACTTTCTCTAAATCATAACTGTCAACAGTGACGTGGGTGCCAAGGCGAAAATATGCTGACTGTTTGTTTGATGATAGGAGATACTTCGTCTTCTCCTCGTTTACCACCAGACCCATTCGCTTTGCTTCCGTTTCTAACTGGGAAAAGGCAGAACAGACTTCGCGGTTCTTGTTACCGATGATGTCGATGTCATCGGCGTACGCCAGCAATTGCACGCTCTTGTAGTAAATTGTTCCTGAGCGGTTGAGTTCTGCAGCTCTCATTATCTTCTCCAACATCAGATTAAAGAAGTCACATGAAAGGGAGTCGCCCTGTCTGAAACACCGTTTGGTGGCGAATGGCTCGGAGAGGTCTTTCCCAATTCTGACAGATTCTGACTGGTGGTACTGCTCAACGCCATTTAACACAGCCGTATCAGTTTGGCGGGGATGCCGAATTCAGACATAGCGGCGTATAGGCAACTCTTTTTAGTGCTGTCGAAAGCGGCTTTAAAGTCGACAAATAGGTGGTGAGTGTCGATCCTTTTCTCGCGGGTCTTTTCCAAGATTTTACGTATTGTGAATACCTGGTCTATGGTGGGTTTGCCAGGTCTGAAGCCATACTGATAAGGTCCACTTAGTTCGTTGACGGTGGGCTTCAGTCTTATAACATAGGCTAGGAAGCTGATCCCGCAGTAGTTGGCGCGGATGGCGAGGTCGCCTTTCTTGTGAATTGGGCAGAGCAGACTTAAATTCCAGTCGTCGGGCATGCGTTCATCTGACCATATTCTGCATAACAGTTGATGCATACACCTTATCAACTCCTCGCCACCGCACTTGAATAGCTCAGCTGGCAGGCTGTCAGCTCCAGCAGCTTTGTTGTTTTTCAGCCGCGTTATTGCTATTCGTACCTCGTCATAGTCAGGCGGAGGAACATCGACTCCGTCATCATCGGCTGGGGGATCGGGTTCTTCTCCACAACTTTCCGTGTTGCTACCATTCAGTAGCGTGGAAAAGTGTTCCCTCCATAATTTAAGTACGTTCTGAAGATCGGTAACTAGGTCACCATTGTTGTTCTTACAGGAGTACGCCCTGGTCTTGAAACCTTATGTAAGTCGCCTAACTCTCTGGTAAAATTTTCGGGCATTCTTCCTGTCGGCCAGCATTTCAAGCTCTTGACACTTACGTATTTCGTTCTCTCTTTTCTTATTGCGGCAAATACGTCTCGCTTCCCTCTTCAGATCCCTGTAGCGGTCCCACATGGCGCGCGTTGCGCCCGATCGCAGCGTACCAGTTGTTCTTTCGGGCTCGCTGAAATCTGGCTACTTCTTCGGGGGCGGTACTTAATGAGCGGGAGATGTGGTTCCACTTCTCGCATATGTCCTTTTGTAGAAGAGTGCTCTCTGAGAGCAGGTGTGAGAGTCGAGTAGCGAATGCATTGGCTGTCTGCTGTGATTGCAGCTTTTCGACGTTAAGCTTTCCTTGCATATTTGGGCGCACATTTTTTGCTGCACAGAGGCGGGTGCGTATCTTGGCTGCACCAAGATAGTGGTCCGAGTCGATGTTTGGCCCTCGGAGTGTACGTACGTCCGAAACGCTGTATCTCTTTTTCATTGGAGCCTGTTTTTACGTGGTGGGTCCCAAACCCAACGCACAACCCATTGTTGGGACGGGGGTGGTTTCGTAACCGAATACACATTTATAAAGCGAGCCGCCTGCTCCAAGACAGACACCCGCTTGCAGCCTCACCTACTGGTGAACAGACGCTGCAGACTTCAGTGAGCCCTTAAACCGAATAAGTCGGAGTGGCCCCACCAAAGCTCCCTCTCTTTCTGCCGTGACCCAAGGCTCCACTCGGATTGGTTACCGCATCTCGCACATGGGTTGCTGACGTTGCCCAAAGTGCGCGATCGAGGACGCCAGAGTCGGGATTGAGTATAGCCATTGCACTCCAATCGCCCATATTGCCGTCCATAAATTGGAGCGCCTAGCGTTGCGTTCTCCATAGTCAACGAGTGTCAGCGCACGCTAGTGATGAGTAAGCAAATCAATGTTGCCAAATTCCCATTTTCAAAAATTAAAGGGCTGTTCAGGAGGCACCTGAAATTGTGCATATGGAAACTGTGTATACGAAATAATGCATATGGAAAAAACCGAAATAATGCATATATGCACAGTTTCGGTTGAAAACCGCAATAATGCATATTAGAAAAACCGAAATTATGCATATGCACTCTTTCGTTTGAAAACCGAAATAATGCATATATGCACAGTTTCGGCTGAACACCAAAATAACGCATATGAAAAAGTCGTTTGAAAACCGAAACAACGTATATGACAAAAACGAAGTAATGCATACATGCACAGTTTCGGTTCAAAGCCGAAATAATGCATATGACAAAAACCGAAACGAAAACGAACTTCTTTCTGCATAGGCAGAATGCGGCCGCGCTTAGGGATTGTAACCCTTACTAAAAAGAACTCTATTTTCTCTGTTGCCGGAAACGAAGGGCGGAAGTATTTTTGCGCAGAACTTTTTCTGCGTAGGCGGCCTTCGGCCGCGCTTAGGGATTATAACCCTTACTAAGTAGAATTCTCCTTTCTGTGTTGCCGGAAAAGGGGACCGGAAGTATTTTTGCGCAGAACTTCTTTCTGCGCGGTCTTCGGCCGCGCTCAGGGGTTATTACCCTTACTAAGAAGAACTCTCCTTTCTGTGTTGCCGGAAAAGAGGGGACGGAAGTGTTTTTGCGCAGAACTTCTTTCTGCGTAGGAGGCCTTCGGCCGCGCTTAGGGATTATAACCCTTACTAAGTAGAA